ATCCGTCTGCTGTCAGACGCTCCCGTACACTCATGTTTGCCCTCATGCATGTGAATGTTCAGATGGACAGGTGATGTCTAGGTAGGCAGCGCACAGCTAGTGTGTACTTATTCTCAACACTCATGTGATGACATCATTAAAAGAATAATTCACCAAAAAATGAACATTTGCTGAAAATCTGCTCCCCCTCAGGCCGTCCAAGATCAGGATGAGTTTGTTTCTTCATCAGGTTTGTAGAAATGTAGCATTGCATCAGTGTTTAAACGCTGCTTGATCTGTGCAGATTTCTCTCCTGATTCAGACCAGAACACCTTTTCACTGCAGGAAGCGTTATTATGGATTATAGACTCGTATTTGAGTTAAAAACAATTTTTTTTTATTATGTGGTATTTTAGTTAAAAACGTCTTAATTAATCATTTTAAATACAGTTTTAGTAATTTTGCTGTGTGTTTTTGTCACTTTTATTAGGTTTTGTTTTTTTTTGTCTTCAGGTTTCTATTAGAGTTTTTACAAATATGTGAAATTCTGTTTTTTTTTTGTTGCATTTTCCATTTTATTTTAATTTCAGTTAACGTTTTAGTAATTTTGTTGTGTGTTTTTTGTCCTTTTTATTTGTTTTATTTTTATTTTTTTGTCTTTAGGTTTATATTATAGTTTCTATGAATATTTTAAATTTTTTTATTATTTATTTATTTATTTTAGTTAGAGTTTTAGTAATTGTGTTGTGTTGCTTGGATGTTATTCAACTGTTTCTCATATTGCTTATTTAAATTTTAAATGTATTATTTAATACATTTTTATAATTTTTTTTATTGTAATTTTTGTTTTGTTTTTTGCAATTTTATTTTTATGATTATGATTTTATGATATATTTGTATTTTAAATAATAATTTTTTTAAAACATTTGTATTATTTATTTAATTTTTAGTTAGTGTTTTATCTTGATTGTATTTTTTAATTATTTATTTGAATTTACGTATTCATGATTTAGCTTTTAATAAGTGTTTTATTTAGATTTTTTATTTGACAATTATTAATTAAAATTTTAAATTTTTATAATTTAATTTTTAGTATCTGCTTAGTTTTTAATTTTCCAATAGGGAGTTTTATTTTCCTGATTGAGTGAAGTCTGCTGTAATGGTGTGTGTGTGTGTGTGTGTGTGCTGCAGGTGCTGAGTCAGGTGCACCCGAAGCTGTCGGCGCAGCAGGAGGCGCTGCAGTACATCGAGGGCCTGATCTTGGTGCTGCTCAACACTCTGTGTCAGGCTCAGCCGCGCTCCGTGCAGGACGTGGAGGTGAACGCCGTCGCCGTGACGACCGCATCACAACACGCTGACCAATACAGTAAAAATTCTGAAATATTATTAGAATGTAAAACAGCTGTTTTCTATGTGAGTCTCTGTTAAACTGTAATGTATTTCTGTGATTTGCAGCTGTATTTTCAGCATCATTACTCCAGTCTTCAGTGTCACATGATCTTCAGAAATCAGTATAATATGCTGATTATTAGAAACATTTCTGATTATTATCAATGTTGAACACATTAATATTTTTGTGGAAACTGATGCATTTTATTTTTCAGGATTCACAGATGAACAGAAAGTTCAAAAGAACGGCTTTTATTTGAAATATAAATCTTTTGTAACGTTATAAATGCCTTTACTGTCACTTTTGAGCAATATAATGCGTCCTTGATGAATAAAAGTATATATTTCTTCTTTTTGTAAGCTTTAAAACTGTGTTCAACATTGATAATAATCAGAAATGTTTCTAATAATCAGCATATTATACTGATTTCTGAAGATCATGTGACACTGAAGACTGGAGTAATGATGCTGAAAATACAGCTGCGCATCACAGAAATACATTACAGTTTAACACATATTCACATAGAAAACAGCTGTTTTACATTCTAATAATATTTCAGAATTTTTAAAGTATTTTTGATCAAATGAATGCAGCCTTGCTGAGCAGAAAAGACTCTTTAAAAAATAAAATAAACGTTAATAAATTTTACTACATGTAATCTTTTGAGCACTAATGTAAACGATGGACAAACTGCTCATAATTTTTGATGGTTCAGCATCGGTGATATATGTGTTGTTTGGTTTTAGGGTGAAATATGAGCCAAGCTCTGTGAGATTCTCTCAGTGTAAACGCTGAGCATCATGGGTATTGTGTGACCGATGAATGTGTCTCCGAGTGAGCTCGACTGACTGCTGCTGAGACGCTCAGCTGCTTGAGTTTGTGCTGTAGATCTCAGCTGCTTCATCATCATCATCATCACCTTCTCTCTGTGTGTGCTGTGTTCTTCAGGAGCGAGTGCAGAGGAGTTTCCCGCACCCCATCGAGAAATGGGCCATCGCCGACGCTCAGGCCGCGATCGAGAAGAGGAAGAGGAGGAACCCGCTAGCGCTGCCTGTCGACAAGATCCAGCCGCTGCTCAAGGTGTGCTGCGCTCAATCACATCAGAGCCAGCATCCGAGCAGTCTGCCGTTATTCATCAACTCACATCTTATAGAACGACACTTACGTCTTATGTCTTATTTTATTTGTATTCTTAATTAATAATATAGTAATGAAGTAATTCATGCATTCATTTATTTAATAATAATATTATAATTTATTATATATTTATTTACATTTTTTTAATTATTAGTAGTAATAATAATAATAGTAATTTATTTTATTTAATGATCATAATAATAATATTATAATTTATTATATATTTATTTTACATGTTTTAATTAGTAGTAGTAATAATAATAATAGTAATTTATTTTATTTAATGATAATAATATTATAATTTATAATTAGTTGTTTTAAATTTGAAAAGAATAATAGTAATTGGATTAATTTTTTATTGAATAATAAAATGTTATATTATTTATAATGCATTGTTTTATTTTTATATATAATCGGAACCGTTTTAAAAGTATCGATTTGGCACCGGTATCGAAAAAACCCCAAACGATACCCAACCCTAACTACTACTAAATAAAAATACCTAATAAAAACAAAATAACAAATATTATTATTATTGCAATAATAAAAAAGTATTTAAGAAAAATATAATAATAATAATAAATTATTATTAATAATATTATTTTAATTTAAAAAGTGTTGTTTTAATAATTTTAATAATATGCATTTTTATTAATAATTTTATTATTATTATTATTAAATAAAAAATACTAAAAAACTAAATAAGAAATATTACTATTGTAATATATTTGACAAAACGTAGTATTTAATTAAAATACTATAATAATATTTTTTATTGTACAATGCAACTGTACAATGACATTATAATATTCACGGCTGTCTTAATTTCTTCATGGCACTGTTATTTTGACGGAGCTGTGAAGCTGGTCTTTGGCTGATCAGTGTTTAGATGCAGAGATGATGGTTTTATGACAGGCTCCGCCCAGCTCTGGCTCAAGCCCCGCCCCTGTCGCTATGGTTGCAGGTGCTGATGGACGTTCCATCAGGTGGAGGAGGACATCAGTGTGTGTCCTCTGATGGACGAGGAGCCGTCTGCGGCCGAGGAGCAGATGTACTATGAG